CCCAGCCAGGAGGCTGTTGCTGCCTCCCATGCAAGCCTGCACTTGCTTCCTGGCCAGGAGTTTCACCAATAACACCGTTTCTAGCCAGCCAGTTTCCATAGCCTCCAACTCCATGAGGACAGTCTGGAAACCCTAAAATGGCCATGCTGGAGGGCCTTCCATTCAAGGACTCTGCTTAAGGCTGACCTTATGTTTGGTTTTGGGGTAGTGCTCATTTTTATTTTTAATTTTGTATACTTTTCTTTTTTTCTTATTTTATTTTTAAAAGACTTTTTTCTTTTAAGGAAAAAAAAATGAGGTACTATGGGCTGGAAGGAGTGCTATGGCCATGGCCAAGTATAGCACTTGATTCGAGGGACAGTCTCCAGCCCGAGGTCCTGCTTCCGGCTGGGCCCCAGGCCCAGGTAAAAAGCAGAAAGCCCTGCCTTGTTGGTTTCCTGGCATTCTCAGGGCACTGTCGCTGTTGGGCACCTTTGTACACCCATGTCTCAGCTGCTCTAGGCCACATGGCGAGAATGGTGGCAGACCCCCGACCCTCATGGGCGTGCCTTCGGCCAAAATGGCCTGTTTTTCCCATGCTCAGAAAGCCAGTATGGGGTTGGGAGGGTATTCTCCTGGGTGCCCAGGGCCCCCATTCTCAGTGCCCTGCCCAGCTCCTCTTGGGATCTCCCTAACAGCTGGGATCTTTGCCTGTTACCTGAATCTTCCTGTCGGTACATCCCACCTGACTCTGCTGACCGTGTCCATCTGACCCTCCACTGCTGATGTCCTCCCCCATTCCTAACCCCTTTACTGCTTCATGTCCTCTCTATGGACCAAAATGTTCTAGAATGTAAAGATGAGGTGACAAGCAGAGCACCCAGGACCAGGACTTGGCGGTGGTGACAGTCTCACCCTCCTGGGCTCTCTGCCAGGTGAGATCCAGGCGCCTGGTTTTGCAGGTTCCTGAGCTCCATGCCCCTGTGCCCTCCTGCCAGGTTTTTCGGGAGTGCCGCTGCCTGCAAGATCGGAGAGATCAGCCTCTTCTGTGGAGGGCTGCCTGGCCAGGCTGCTCTATAGGCAGAGCATGGGCTGTGTTTGATTATTTTCTCATTTAAGTTTTGTTTGAGATAGGGTCTTACACTGTTGCCCAGGCTGGCCTCAAACTCACAGAAAACCCGAGTCAGCCTCCTGAGTGCTGGGACTTGAGGTGTGGATCTCAGCTGGACCTTGTCTCTCTCAGGCTAACAGCTTTTCTCCAAGTTCCTGTTGTTCACACACCTCTGTGAGGTTTAGTCTGTTCTAACCTGAAGATAGGAAAGTATATTTATGGTGTGTGGTCCCCAGGAGAGGCCAGTGTAGATGAAAGGCACATGTAAGCTTGTTGCCACTGCCAGTTACCTGAGAATTGTCTTGCTGTTCCAGAGGGAGCCAGCTCTGAGGCAACCGTGTGTGTGTGTGTGTGTGTGTGTGTGTGTGTGTGTTTGTGTGTGTGTAGGGAGGGATGTGCTGAGTTTGGGCAGAAGTTGCAGGCTGGAAGCACAGGGTCACCAAGGCCTGGCCTGGTCATCAGAGCTGCACTTCCTGTCAGAGACAGCTTTTGGTAGAGCTATGGTGTCTCCCAGCCTCCAGGCAAGGGGGGGTCACAGTTTCAGCTTTGGGCCCTAGCTCTGCATGCTTCACTATCTTGAGAGATCTTTCTTTCTTTCTTTCTTTCTTTCTTTCTTTCTTTCTTTCTTTCTTTCTTTCTGTTTATTTTTACATTAATTACATTTTATTCGCTTTGTATCCCAGCTGTGGCCCCCTCCCTTATTCCCTCCCAATCCCATTTTTAAAAATAATTAATTTTATTTTATGTGTGAAGGTGTCAGATCCCATGGAATGGGCATTACAGACCAATGTGAGCTGCCATGTGGGTGCTGGGAATTGAACCCAGATTCTCTAAAAGAGCAGCAAATGCTCTTAACCACTGAGCTCCAGCCCTGAGAGGCCTTCCTTGAGGAAGGCCTACAAAGCTAGATCCTGGGAGTCTGGTGTCCTGGCACTACTTTCCCCAGATTTGCCTTGACCGGAGCTCTCATTTTTCCAAAACCTTAGAAGCTCATGGTGCAAGGTAGTGCTGACAGGCAGCCCTCTTGTACCCAGACCCTGTGCCATCTACCCAGCCCCACTCCCCCCTCACCTTAGAGGTGTCTGTCTGGACTTCCTTATGTAGTGACCCCATGAGGTCTCTGCTCTGTTGAGTCCAGCCTCCTAAGGTCCATACCTTCAGGCTGCACCGTAGCTTTGAAATCCCCTGGCACCCTATTCCTATCCATGAAGCTTTGCTGTACCTTCTTGTCTGACCCGTGGGCCTCTTGTTGCTGGGCTAATTTTTCCTTACCTGTCTTAACACACCCCACTCCTGCCCTCCACCCAGCACCCTGGGCTTTAGCACCTGGTGACATCCTGTTTGCACTTCAAGATGCCAGCAAAGGTCCACATCTCCACCCAGAGCTGACCTGGCCACAGGCCCCCAACCACCCACTGACATCACAGACCAAAGGGCCTTTTACCAAGAAAAGACCTGCCTAGATGCAGGTATTGGTCTCAGGCCATGAAGTGCCTGACTCGAGCCTGGGTGACCAAGGTACCCTTGGCTAACCTGCCAGAGATTCTAGGGGAGGCAGAGCTGAGCTCAGAGAGCTGGACACTGTGGTTTGAATCCTCACCAGCCTCAGAGACTGGCTGGGGCTCCACATGTGCTCCAGGATGCGGCCTGGCACAGCCTCTGGCTTTTCATGTGTCCTCAGTTGAACAGTTGTGTGTTAGAAAAAGAGGCCAGGCTAGTGGGGGCCAAATGTGGCCAGAGCTTGCTGTTGGGACAGGTTGGCAGGTCTGGGATGCCAGTGGCCCAGAAGAGGAGGGCGGAGACATCAAGGAGGCCTCTGAAGCATGGAATGTAGCTCATTGAGATCTCCCCAAGCCATGCACAGTGTCACAGGGAGTAAACAAATGGTGACTGTGGAGTTTGTCTCAGGAACTTTGGTGAGCAGGCTTCCCCATGGCTCTGCCAAGTGGTGTAGGGTCATGTTTTTATCCAGGTGTTAGGGACACACAAACTGAGGCTTGAATTTTTTTTTTTTTTTAGACAAGGTCTTCTGTAATCCAGGCTGGTCTTGAACCCCTGATGTTCCTGAGTGCTGGAATGACTATAAAATACAATATAAATTCATCACTTTAAAGTATACGGTTCAAAGCTAGGTGTGAACTGGATGTAGTAATGCACACCTTTGATCCCAGCACCAGAGAGACAGAGGCAGGTAGATCTCTGTGAGTTCAAGGCCAGCCTGGTCTACAAAGTGAGTCCAGGACAGCCAAGGCTACACAGAGAAACCCTGTCTAAAAACAAACAACAAATAAAAACCAAGCTAGGTGTGTAACAAATGCTTGTAATCCCAATACTCATTACTACATGTCTGACGCCATCAGCTACAACAGCAAAACCCTGTCCCCTGAAAACAAAACAAAAAAGAGAATTCAGTGTTTTCTATGTGTGTGTGTGCTGTATTACTGCAGTCATCCAAGAGCATCCCATCACTTCCAAAGGAAACCCTACCCCTGGGCTGGGAGATGGCTCAGCTGGTAAAAGACAAACAAGCAAGCAAACAAGCACTTGCCAAGTTCTACAGCCTGAGCTTAACCCCTGGGACCATATACTTGAAGGAGAAAACTGATTCCCGAATGCTGTCCTGTTCCATACACACAAACTAACCAACCAACTAACAAAAAATCCATGGCTCAGAGGTTAAGAGCACTGGCTGCTCTTCCAAAGGCCCTGAGTTCAATTCCCAGCAACCACATGGTGGCTCACGACCATCGATAATTACATCTGTCGCCCTCTTATGTCCTATAGGCATATGCACAGGCAGAATACTGTATAAATAATAAATAATAATAAATCTTAAAAAAAAATCAAAATCCATGCTCATTGAGCAGCTTCCCCCAAGTCTCTAGAAAATCCTGACTTTCTGTCAGTGAGCCTGTCATGGAGTCATGTGGATGGGCTCACACACGTCTGAGCCCTCTGTGACTGCCACCTGTCACTTAGTCCTGCCCCTGAACTTGTCAAGTGTTTCATACCTTCTTACGGCCAAACATAATAGGGCCACATTTTGTTGATTTGTCCATTATCCAAGTAATGGACAGGTCCTGGCTTTGCCCTTTGCCTAAGTTACCAGATCGGCACGTGGCAGTGTATGACACACTTCGGAAAGCAGTAGGCACAGATGAGGATCTGCTGGCCACCATAACCTTGGTATTCATCTGAAGTGACTTCTGGACAAAATGAGTGAGCAGGCTAGCTGAAGGGCTAGGCGCTCGCTGGAGGTCTGACACTGAATTGAAGGATGGTTCCATTCAAGCCAGACATGGTGGCACTTAATCTCAGCACTGGAGAGGCCGAAGCAGGGGAGCTGCAGTGTGTCGAAGGCCTGGGTCTCAAACTCACAGAGATGTGCAGGCCTCTGCTGGGACTAAAGGTGTGTGCCGCCACCCCAGGTGTGTGTGTGTGTGATCCTAACTTTTAAAAACATAAACAGAACACCTCAGGGCATAGCCGGTGGGCACAGAGGCGCACGCCTGGAGTCCAGCACTCCGGGAGGCAGAGGCAATGGATCTCTGTGAGTTCTAGGCCAGCCTGTTCTACAAAGTGAGTCCAGGACAGCCAGGGCTACACAGAGAAACTCTGTCTGGAAAAACTTAAAAAAAAAAAAGAGAGAGAGAGAGAAAGAGAAACCTCAGGGGAGATGGCTCAGTGGGTAAAGGTAGGTGACAACCTAAGCGAGGGACTCACGCTGTAGGAGAACCAGCTGCCACGAGTTCTTCTCACTTCTGCACACACTGGCATGCACACATCCCCCGACGCACACACAGTAAACAACACATTCGTCTTTAAAAATGAGGGCCCTGACCCGGCCTTGGTGGCAGGGCCTGTGGTCCAGGCCCTGTGGGCCCTGCTCACTGCCATCCTTTGCCTGCAGCATCCGCAGCGTCATGCAGAAGTATCTCGAGGACCGAGGAGACGTGACCTTTGAAAAGATCTTCTCACAGAAGTTAGGTAAGAGCAGCCACCTCTCCCAGCCTGAGGTCTCCAAGAGGGCTCCAGGGTCAGCATCGTGTTGCCCTGCAGCTGGCTGGACCATGTGCCCCTGTCCCAGAAGGTCCCCCATCTACTTCGGCTCCCCCTGCAGTTAAGAATGGTGACCCTTTGTGCCTCCCAGCCCCTGGCTTCTGCCCAGGGAGCCCTGTAGTGGGGGTGGGGGCCCATCAGTCTTCCCCAGGCGCCAGGGAAGTTCCTCCTTTGGGGTTTTTGTTTTTGAGAGTTGCAGCTTCCCCTTGGCGCAGCCACAGCTGCTCTGGGCCGTTGGTGGAACTGACAGGAAGAGGCGGGGCCCTTCCTGTGGTGCCTGTAGAGCTGTGGCTGGCCCCGCCTCCACCCAACCCCCTCGGGCCCTGAGTGAGCAACCTGTCTCGGAGCTGGCCCCTCCATCCTTCCTCCTCTGGTGTGGGTGTGGGTATACACCCTTGTCTTAGAAGGGTATACCCACCCCACTGCCCGGCCTAAAGGAGAACTTGGGGTGGTGTCCCTGGGAGCCACTGCAGTCACACAGGGCTCAGATTTGGGCTTCCTGAGGACGGGATCGCAGTATGAAGCTGACGTGGCCTAGAGGGATCAGGCATTGGAGGTCAGCCTTAGTTCAGCAGTAGGCCAGGAAGAACACAGCCTGGGGGGACAGGTCTACGTTGTTTGGCTTTGGGCCAGTTGCCTCTCCTCTCTCTGAGCCTCAAGCCTTTCAAATCTGAGAAATGGAACCTTGAGCCCAATTGCCCAAGGCAGACAGGATGGGCCTGAATCAGTGGTGTCAGTAAAAGCACTTTGTAACCCTGAACCTCTGACCACAAGCCTCATTCACAAGCCACTGGAAGGTTCCACCAGGCTCTTCTTAGAAGAAATGATGGCTTTAAGTACTAGCAGAGAGACCTGGGATTAGAGGTCAGTAAATAGGCCACAAGTGACCCTCAAAGAGGCATTGAAAGCTACCCAGCACAACTCAGGCACCCCAGTGTGTGTGTGTGGGGGGGGGTTGGCACAGGTTTTTAATCCAGCACTAGGAAGGCAGAGGCAGGTCAGGTAGATCTCTGAGTTTGAGGCCAGTCTAGTCTACAGAGTGAGTTCCAGGGCAGCCAGGCCTACACAGAGAAACCCTGTCTGCAAAACAAAACAACAAAAACCCTCAGGCATTTGTGCTGGACTAGAGCCCGAGGGGGGAAGCCACCGTTAGCTTTGCCTGAAGGTGCTCTGAGACCTCCACCTTTGGCCTGCCTTTCCAAGGGATCCTCCAGTGGATCGAGGAGTTCTGTGTTCTTACCGCAGGTCTCCCTGAGCCTCAGTTTCCCCAACTGGACTTGCCTGTCTGGTCAGGGATACTCTGAAAAATCATCTAGATGGGAGGGAGGTGGTAGGGATAGGGACCCTCTCTTGGTTGTTGCCTCCCTCCTGCTACAGCCTGACCTGGCTCAGAGGACCAGTCTGTCATGATGTCCCCACCAAGAACCTTACTGTAGGTAGTGTCACCATAGTAGGTAGCAGTGTCATCAGCACAGAGGAGGTCAGGTCATGGCACTGCCCTGAACTACTAATGCCAGGGCCAATCCCACACCCTTCTCCAGTACCAGCATTTCCCAGCCATTTTCTGCAAAGGCTGGTTCTGGGGATAGGGCACAAGTACAGGGACTTTTTAGGCTGGTGGCAGCCTCAGTGGCCACATTGCCTAGCTCCTTCCTGCAGTATAGCCATCTCTGCTACTGCCCTGGCTAGTTTTGTCTAGGAATCCCCAAGCTCTTTCCACCCATAGTGACAGTAAGGCCTTTGAGACAAGAGTGCATGGTTCAGTGTGACCAGACCTGGTTGCTTTCAGGGTACCTGCTTTTCCGAGACTTTTGCCTGAATCATCTGGAAGAGGCCAAGCCCTTGGTGGAGTTCTATGAAGAGGTAAGGCGAGTGAGGTCTGGCGAGAGAAAGGTGCTTGAGCACCTTGCTGAGTCTGAGGCACCTTGCCTCATGCTCCGGCAGACCATCTATGCCTGTGCCTTCCACCAGATCAAGAAATATGAGAAGCTGGAGACAGAGGAGGAGCGGGTGGTCCGCAGCCGGGAGATCTTTGACTCCTACATCATGAAAGAACTGCTGGCCTGCTCACACGTGAGTGTTCTGGTCAGCTGCCTTCAGTGCAAACTCATGTGCTGGCCCCAAGCAACCTGGGGTTGGAAGGGCACAAAGGGCCTTGGATAGAATTCACAGCCACCTCTGTCCTCTCCAGCCCTTTTCAAAGAATGCTACCGAGCATGTCCAGGGCCACCTGGTGAAGAAGCAGGTGCCTCCAGATCTCTTCCAGGTGTGTGATGGGCTCCTTTCCTGTTGGCCCCCTCCTGCCCAGATCAGGCCCTCCTGCCTTAGACAGCTGGGGTCCTGGAGCCCAGTCCTAAATGGAGGACCTGGGACACCAGGGGCTAATAGACTTGGTCACCAACTCTCCGCTCCCTCCCCACAGCCATACATTGAGGAGATCTGTCAGAACCTCCGAGGGGATGTATTCCAGAAGTTCATTGAGAGGTGAGTAGAAGAGAGAGAGAAGCGATTCTTATGGTAGAGGCAGCCTGCTCTGGCTCTGAGCGGGCAGGTGTGGGTTCTGTCTATGCCCCCTCACAGGGACTCCTGGGAGGTCACATAGATCCTCACATAGATTTTCTCTCACCCTGTGTCTCCCTGTGTTCTGTGTGGAGCATCAGGGTACCGGCAGGGCTAGGCTTCAAGCATACACTGCCCTCTGTGGTTTAAACCACCACAATCTAAGGCAGAATGCTAGAGGCAGCATTTTCAGTCAAAGCTACACAGCCATAGGCAGTGGGGCTGCTGAGAAGGTGCCTTCCCTGGGAATGAGCTCTTGGCTAGGAGATTGTGAGCAGCAGGTGTATGCCCTAGTGGGTCTGACTGAAGACCATCTCTCATCCCAGCAGGACACTATGGCTCAGGCTGCTGAGGATATGTGGCCTGAGCTGACTATAGGTTCAGGATGTTTCTATGTCTGTTTGTCAGGACCCTGGAAGGGCAGTGGGTGGGACAGGCCCTGGTGGCCTCTGATGCGTTGATACCTGCCTGAGCGTGTGCCCTTCTTATTTCCCAGTGACAAGTTCACACGGTTCTGCCAGTGGAAGAATGTAGAACTCAACATCCACGTGAGTGGGCTGGGGGGGGGGGCTGGCGTGTAGCCCCACAGTGGTGGCTAGTGGGGGCTCTGGATGGGAGGAGGGCCAGTGCTAGGACCCCAGTGGGGGAGACTGGAGAAAGGTAAGTGTGTGGCCAGATCACAGAGGTAGGGGACCCTGGTAGCAGGACCTGTCCCTGCTGCTACATGCCTCTGCTGTGGGGCCCAAAAGGCCTGCAAGTGACCCCAGCTGTTGCCACTCTGCAGCTGACCATGAATGACTTCAGTGTGCATCGAATCATCGGTCGTGGGGGCTTCGGTGAGGTCTATGGGTGCCGGAAAGCAGACACAGGCAAGATGTGAGCACCCTGATCAGCTGGCAGTGGGTGGGGTGCCCAAGGGAGGAGTCAGGCTTCTAGGGCCATCATGAGGGACTGGGTCCTTTTAGGGAAGAGCAATTATGGGCCTCAGTGTCTCATGCTGGCCATCCCTGAATGTTCAGTCTCTGCCTAGGACCATACCTTACCCATCCTGACACTGTCCCCTCCTTCCTGTGTTGTTTTGGCTATTCTGTCTCCTTTAGGCTCCTCAGACTCTTAACTTGCCAAAACCTTCTGCCCTCTCTAAAGCACCGGCTGTGTCACACATTTTGTCCTGCGTCTGGTCTTCATCAGCAGCCAGCTGAGGCCGCCTGGGGCTCTGCCCCACAGGGTGTGCTGACACAGCTGACCTCCTGCTCCATCACAGGTACGCCATGAAGTGTCTGGACAAGAAACGCATCAAGATGAAGCAGGGAGAGACCCTGGCTCTGAACGAGCGGATCATGCTTTCCCTTGTCAGCACCGGGGTGAGCTGGCTGGCCAAGTGGCCCATAGTAACCCCTGACCCGAGCCGCAGCCAGCCTTTGCTCACCTTCCCCTCCCTCCTAGGACTGCCCCTTCATCGTGTGCATGTCATATGCATTCCACACACCAGACAAGCTCAGTTTCATCCTGGATCTCATGAACGGTGAGCTCAGGACCAGCCCCAGGGGGTGGACCTAGGGCTGGACCTGGGCAGGAAGCTGAGTCTCATGTGGGGGGCTGCCCCTCAGGTGGGGACCTGCACTACCACCTCTCTCAGCATGGAGTCTTCTCTGAGGCCGACATGCGCTTCTACGCAGCTGAGATTATCCTGGGTCTTGAACACATGCACAACCGTTTTGTAGTCTACAGGGACCTGAAGGTGAGGGGCCGCCATCAACCATCCCTTCCTTCAGGCTTGTCTCCTTGCCTGACCCTCCTCCCCTCCTTGCCTGAGCCACTTTCTGAGTTCAGTTGTCATCACGGGGGAGGGGGAGTGTCCTGCCTGGGGCCTTGTCCCCAAAACCTATAGCCCCCTCTAGTGAAGGCCCAGGCTGGCCTCCTCCTGGCTCAGAAGCTCACGGGGCTTCCTTCACAGCCAGCCAACATTCTCCTGGACGAACATGGCCACGTGAGAATCTCGGACCTTGGCCTAGCCTGTGACTTCTCCAAGAAGAAGCCCCATGCCAGTGTGTGAGTGCCTAGCCATTCCCCTGCTTCCCAAACCTCCTCCACTTCACTGACGGCCTGTGCTTCCACAGGGGCACGCATGGGTACATGGCACCCGAAGTGCTACAGAAGGGTGTAGCCTACGACAGCAGTGCTGACTGGTTCTCCCTGGGCTGCATGCTCTTCAAGTTGTTGCGGGGGTGAGTAGGCTATCCTGGGTGGGTAGGTAGAGCAAGGCCTTGAGCTACTTCATCAATCAGGCAGGAAGCGGGAGGGGAACCCTGTGTAGCCTGGGTGTTAGAAGTGGTGCCCTCCCTCGTTTCTCATTAGCCTCATTCTTGAGGTCTATCTCAGTTTTCCCATTCTTATTCTCTGATGCTGATCTTTGACCTCTTGTCCAGACACAGCCCCTTCCGGCAGCACAAGACCAAAGATAAGCATGAGATTGATCGCATGACATTGACAATGGTGAGTGTAAGAGGAGCAGTGAAGGTCCATAGTGGTGCCATCAACCGTCAACTCTTGGTTCTCTCTAGCCAGCAGAGCTCTTGAGCCAGTGATCCTTTCTCTGTCCTAAGGGAAAGGCTTCTTGCCCTGTAGCCTCTTGCCTTGCTTGTGTTGTCAGAGCTCACACTTGCTGGGGACCTCTACCCCTCCCCCAGAGCCAAGGGCTCTTCCTGAGCTCCTATTGACATCCTCCTTCTCTTCACCTGAAAGGCTGTTGAGCTGCCTGATTCCTTCTCCCCTGAACTCCGGTCCCTGCTGGAAGGCTTGCTGCAGAGGGATGTCAATCGGAGGCTAGGCTGTCTGGGCCGAGGGTGAGTGTCCTGGCCTCTCCAGCATATGGGTGGATTCGGTGTTTGCTGTGGGCTGCTGCCCCAGCCTTCCTGGACCTCTGGTTGTGCCCCCTTAGAACAGTGCTCATGTCCCCTCATTTGAATCCCTCCGTGGTCTTAACCTTCTTGTGAGGAACTCATAAGGGATATCATGGCCCACACTATCTAGTGTCCTTACGGTGGCAGGGCTGGCTGGGTGTGTCCCAGTTGGAGCCAACTGGGGACCAGCTTTCAAAAGATCCAGAAGAGTCTTTGTAGCAGAGTGATGATAACCATAATTATAACAGGTTTTTTTGTTTTGTTTTGTTTGCATGAGGTAGGGGTGGTAATTTTTTTTAAGACAAGGTCTTATGTAATCCAGGGTAGCCTTACTCTGTAGCTGAGGCTGGCCTTGAAATCCTCATTTTCCTGCTTCTGATTAGAGGCGTGTACCACCATACCCAGCTTAATAGCAGCTTTGTAGGTCTACTGGGATATCTGTTAATTGCCAGGCAAGGCAGTATTAAAACTCACATCAACCCAAGGATGCGGGAACTGCTTCTTCCATTTAGAGATGAGCAAACAGTTTGAGAGTTATGGAACTTGCTTAAGAGACAAAAGACAGAGACAAAAGGTAGCTGAGTCCAGAGGCAGATATAAGCTAATGACTCCACAGATTGGAGCTAGCCCAGCTTGGGTGACAGGTACACGTCTCCACAGGGCTCAGGAGGTAAAAGAAAGCCCCTTCTTCCGCTCCCTGGACTGGCAGATGGTCTTCCTGCAGAAGGTAAGAGGCAATCCAGGGGTAGGATGAGGAGCGCCATGGCCCCTCACCACTGCTGATACCCGCCCTGCTCTATGTAGTACCCACCTCCACTGGTCCCCCCACGTGGGGAGGTGAATGCAGCGGATGCTTTTGACATTGGCTCCTTTGATGAGGAGGACACGAAAGGAATCAAGGTATTGCACCTTGGCTTGGCTGCTGAACCCTGAGCCTGGCCTGGTCTGGATGGCCCCTGCCCCTCCTATGCCTCTGTGAGACACTGTGGCTACCCTGTGGGCTGTGAGCCATACTTCCTCATCCCCCAGCCTCCCTGGGGATGGTGGTCACTGGAGACCATCTTAGCTTAAGGCCCTGTACACGCCCATGGCTGCTAATGTCCGGCACCCTTCGTCTCTCCGTGTTTCCCTGCCATGTCCGCCTGGTGAAGTTACTGGACAGCGACCAGGAGCTCTACCGCAACTTCCCTCTCACCATCTCGGAGCGGTGGCAGCAGGAGGTGGCAGAGACTGTCTTTGACACCATCAATGCTGAGACAGACCGACTGGAGGCACGAAAGAAAGCCAAAAACAAGCAGCTGGGCCACGAGGAAGGTGAGGACTCATGACCATGGGGGACACCAGCTGTGATGCTCACTGCAGAAATGAGAAGTGGGCTCTGCTGAGAAATTGAAAGTGTCTGGGTGTGGGTGGGTGCTGAGCCTGCATCCCATTTCTTGTGCAGACTATGCCCTGGGTAAGGACTGCATCATGCATGGCTACATGTCCAAGATGGGCAACCCCTTCCTGACCCAGTGGCAGCGGCGATACTTCTACCTGTTCCCCAACCGGCTCGAGTGGCGCGGTGAAGGAGAGGCTCCGGTAAGAAGGGGTGCTGGGAAGACATGGTGTGGGCACAGGGTGGGTCCCAGGGCCTTTTCTTCACAGCCTGCTGCCCCTCCCATCCTGCAGCAGAGCCTCCTGACCATGGAAGAGATCCAGTCGGTGGAAGAAACACAGATCAAGGAACGCAAGTGTCTCCTGCTTAAGATCCGCGGTGGCAAGCAGTTTGTCCTGCAGTGCGATGTAAGTGGGAGCCTGCGGGGAGGGTGCAGTGGGCGGGCGCCTGGCCGGCAGAGGCTGATAGAGCCTGGCCATGCACAGAGTGATCCTGAGCTGGTGCAATGGAAAAAAGAGCTGCGTGACGCGTACCGTGAGGCCCAGCAGCTGGTGCAGCGAGTGCCCAAGATGAAGAACAAGCCACGCTCACCTGTGGTGGAGCTGAGCAAGGTGCCACTGATCCAGCGTGGCAGTGCCAACGGCCTCTGATCCACCCACCTGCTGCCCGCCTGCCCACCCGCCTTTTATAAACCTCTAATTTATTTTGTTGAATTTTTATTATTTGTTTTCCCGCAAAGCGGAAAAGGTTTTATTTTGTAATTATTGTGATTTCCTGTGGCCCCAGCCTGGCCCAGTCCCCAGGGAGGGGCCCGCTTGCCTCGGCTCCTGCTGCCACCAACCCAGCCGCTGTCTAGCACCCTGCCCTGCCCCTCCCCCTCCCAGGGTCTTTGCTCCCAGTGTCTTCCTCCAGGGAAGAGGAACAACCCTCAGCAGCCCTCTTGCCCTTCCATGGGGCGAGCCACACTTGGTGTGTGTCTTACTTCAGGCTCTGTGGGCTGTGCTCAGCCTGTGGCCCAGCTGGGTGGCCCAGCACCCTACCCTAGGAAGGAAGGTGCAACACAGGGATACTACTTGAACTTTCCTATCACAGCCCTCATGCCACAGAGGGACAGACCCCTGCTGTCCTGCCCTCTTGCCACTGGTGAGAGAAAGCCCTCATCTCCCCAGACCTGGAGGTCTCCCACAGTGACAGGCTCCTGGGTCCTTGTTCAGGAAAGGCCTGGGTGTTGCCACTGCCCCCTCTCCCCTTCCTTGGACACTAGGGCTGGGTTAGGAAGCCGCCGTTGGCAGTGGCTGCTGCTGGCCTCCATGCAAATCCCCTCTTCCCGTTGCGTGCCTGGACTCAGGAGCACAGAAAAAGCAATTGTGGATTGGGCCACACTGGCCTCCCTGAACCTAGGTCCCCAGACCTGGGCTGGGTGAGGCTCACCTGCCTAGGACCACAGTGGGACAGCCTGGGCAGGTAGGTGGCACAGCAGAAGAGCCCAGCTGGGGCCAGCTCTCCCTGTCCTGGCTGGTCAGTGTGCCCCCACCCACACTGTCCAGCCCATTAGCCCATGTCATGTCAGTGCCACCGCCCACAGGTGCCACCTTGCCCACCGCATGCCCCCTTGTGCCAGTCGCGCAGCTGTGTGGTGTCATGCCCGCTCCCCTGGGGCTGGGCCGGCACCCCCTCTCGTCTACTCACTCCCCGGGGCGTTTCTTTGCCGATTTTTGAATGTGATTTTAAAGAGTGGAAAATGAGACTATGCGTTTTTATAAAAAAATGGTGCCTGATTCCTCGCTGTCTCAGACTCTTTGTGCCTGGTGACCACTTCTCAGTCACTTCTGCCTGGGGCCTGAGAAGGGAGGACCTTGGTAGCCCGTCCTTTTCTCCCTGCCACCTCCCAGATAAGCAGAAGTGGGCCCTGGTCCATGTCAGTGTCATGTCTGGAATGGCTGGGGATGAACTGGCCTTACAAAGTTCCCTGCACATCAACACTATATCGATCATCACTCCCTGTCGGCACGCATCTGCTTTCTCATCCACACTGCACCTTCTGGGCCTTTGACTGTGGCTGGCATTGACCTCTCTCTCTTGTGGTCTCACTGTCTACCCTCTGGAGTTCTCTGGGCTGGAGGGGTACCCCACCATGAAACCTTTCTTTCCTGAATGGACTTATAACTGTCCGTGCTCCAGGGTCTTTGGAGCCCTTGGCAGGACATGTAAGCACCACTGCCTGCCCTGTTCATGCAGGGATGGGTGCACACAAGAGATAATACTGTGGCATCTCGGATGAAATGGCCCTGGAGCAGAGCCTCCAGCATTGGTGTGTCATTAGTGAAGATGTTTCTAAGTCCAGAAAGGATCAAGCACTTACAAGTACCTCAGACAGCAAAACACAATAGAAGGACCCAGGCCTTGGAGCCCTGAAAGGCCAGCCTTAACTTAGCATAGTCCAAGAGTACCCAGTGTCTGCAGCCTGCAGATATGAACAGACTGGGAGGCTGAATTTGCTTGGTTCTGGGCGGTTAGTAGGGGCTATCCCCAAACTCACCATGTAGCCAAGGATAGCCTTGAACTCATTCTCCTGCTTCCACTCCCAAGTGTTTGCTATCGTGTCTGTCTAATTCTTAAGTTTCAGGGCAGGCTGAGGTCATGAGATCCTGTTCATGAATAAAACTACAAGAAGTAGGGAGACAAGGCTATTGCTTCTGTCCAGATAAGATGTTCTGGTAATGGTGACAGTGAAGGAAGAAGTGGAAGAGGCCAGAGAGGAGAAAGTGGCTGAGCAGTGGAACAGGCTAGGCCACACATAGGGTTGAAAAGTAGCTGGTCAAACATGGAGCATATGACGTTAGTCAAGAGGTCCAGAGGTCCTGAGTTCAGTTCCCAGAAACCACAGGGTGGCTCACAACCATCTATAATGAGATCTGGTGCCCTCTTCTGGCGTGCAGGAGTACATGCAGGCAGAACACTCTGTAATAAATATATTTTTAAAAAAGACGAAAAGGTGAGACAGCCCAGAGCACTGCTGGTCTTGGGGGAGGAAGGGAAGGTGTAGGAAGGTGGATTTCGCTTCTGATACTGCAATGGGTCAGCATGGAATACCCAAGACCAGAGGTGTTCTAGAGGTGGCATCAGGGAGAATGGGAGCAGGCAAGCTGCCAGCCAGGAGAGGCCCGCATGGACAAGAGGGTCACTGTCAGAGAAATAGGGGCTGATGGAGAAATGCTCAGGCTTCTAGGTTCAGGGTAGAGAGGATATGGGGACATCTCTGAGGAAAGCAGCAGCCAGCAGAGCCCAACTGTAGAGCTCTGGACCTTCAGAAGCCTTTGAGCTCCTTTCAAAGTCCAGACATCACAGATGACCTGAACACACCACTCAAGGTAGGTGGCCTGGGTCCCAGACAGGCCACCTATTCACAGGGTGAAAGGGGGTAAACGTGGCGATCAGGCTGCAGAGATGAGGACATCCTGGGGCAGGAAAGAGCCTCGAGTCCGATGGCCTTTCTCCATCACACTAACTCTTACAGATAGGGAGACAGGGCCACCAAGATCCGATAAAGGCATTTGCTGCCAAACCTGACAATCTTGAGTTCAAGGGAGAGAACCAATTCTTAAAAGTTGTTTTTTGACTTCCACACTCATAGGCACCCACACACAAGAATGAATGGATAGTTAATCAAGTGTAAATTTAAAAAATAGAGAAACAGGATAGTGGCTCAGGTTTGGAAAGTCTGGTTTACTACCTTAGCACCCAGCAAGACCGGAATCAGAGACCCCAATGATAGGGCTCAAGAGAACCAGGGGCCGGAACTAAGCTGACTGCCTGAACCCTAGATCCTGTGTGCGTGGAAGTGCTGGCCTGATTTCGAAACTCTTCCTTCCCTGTTGGCAGCAAAATGCAGCCTCTGCAAATGGGACCCATGTGGTGGCCGGTCTCCCACCAGGAAAGCTCTGGTTATTGCCTGAGCTTGTGTTCCCAACCCCAGTATTCCTGTTGGCTGATTCCAGTGCTCTGGAGGGTTCCCTACTCATGGTGTGATATCATCCAGGCATCAGGGCCAGGCAGATGATACTTGGGAAAGAAGCTTTGACTGGTCAGCGTTAGGGGCTGCTGATGGATGCCCATCTCTGGAAGCTAAGCGCCTGGCCTGGGAGGGCAAGATTTCCCACCTCACCCGCATACAAAAGGCCAGTCGGTGCCGGCGGAACCCAGGAGTGGGCTGGGTAGAAGGCCACGTTGTGGGCGAGGGTCTGCAAGAGCAACAGACCCGGGCCCATTGCATACGTATGTGCCAGGGTCCAGCCCCCGCGCTACCGAGCCTCCTAGCTCCCTTCGCGGCCCTTTCCTCCGCTTTCAGACCGCTAGAAAAGGGGTCTGCCTAGGACCTGGGGCGCCCCCTGCGGGCACGGGTGGAGCTGCAGCTAGGCCCCGCCCTCCGTAACGCCCCCTACCGACCCTTGCGGCTAGGAAACGAGGTTCTGGCTGTTCCCGGGGCGCGTGTGGTTGCTCTGGAGACTGGACAGCACCCCACACACACTCAGCCCGCCCCAGCGCGCAGGCCTGCAGTGGTTGCCATGGCTGCGGGAGGTGAGGGGGCGCGGAGCTCGACGCCCCGCCCTAGCCCTGTGTAGCCCCGCCCTCAGGGCCCCCGCCCCGCCCTCCCTGCCGCCCTCGCTCTCGCCGCCGCGGCTCCCTGCTAAGGGTCCGTGGGGCTGCAGCTGGTGCAGCTGAGGTGCGGCTCGCGGCGGAGGCGCGGGGGTCGTGCCCGGCGGAGGCCTAGAAGGGCTGGGCGGTCCACTCGGGATGCGGCGCTGAGGCCCAGCATGGCCGGCCTGGGCCCCACCTTCCCGCTGCACCGGCTAGTCTGGGCGAACCGGCACCGCGAACTGGAGGCCGCACTGCACAGCCGCCAGGTGAGGCCCCGCAGGGGATCCGGTTGGTTCCCCCTGCCAGAGGTGTGGAATCCACCCTGCAGCCCACCTGCCCCTACTGTGCTCCGCAGCCGCCTTCTGACTCCTTAGGTCCAGCCCTATCTGAAGCCCAGGTCCCCTGCCCTCGAGCTTGAGCCTCTATTCAGCTGCATCTTCCTGCAGGGCCTTGCTCTGCTCTCTGCCCACCTCGTATTGCATTGAGCCCTGGCTTCACGCTCATCACCTCTGAGCTAGACTGAGGACGAAAACCATGCTCCCAGTCCTCAGGCCGGTCCAAACTCTTGACATTCTTCACCTGAACCTGCCTCACTAGACTGCCACCAGGCCCCCAACTCTATGGGTAGCAGTCCCTTCCCACTGGCTCTCACTGTCCTGACATCCTCCTGACTCTGACATCCTCCAGTCCACACAGGTCACCCTCTTTCTTCTCACTGACCTGGTTACTCTCATTTCCTATCGCAACTCCAGCCCTTTTCAGTCCAGTGACCTCCTTGCTTTGGCTCTCTCTTGCCTTGTGTTGAGTGTCCCATCTCCCTCAGCACGACATTGAACAGGAGGATCCCCGAGGGCGGACCCCCCTGGAGCTGGCTGTGTCCTTGGGGAACCTGGAGTCTGTGAGAGTCCTCCTTCGACATAATGCCAACGTGGGCAGGGAGAGCCACCAGGGCTGGGCAGGTACTACACAGGGCAGAGACTAGCATCCAGGTTGGTGGGTGGGAGTAAGTTAGGCAGGCATGGGGCCCCTGGGAGGGCTTCCCCAGCAGTCCTTGGCCTCCAGTTCTGCAGGAGGCAGTCAGCACTGGGGACCCTGAGATGGTGCAGCTGGTGCTCCAGTATCGGGATTTCCAGAGGGCCACGCAGAGGTTGGCTGGCATCCCAGAACTGCTCAACAAACTCCGTCAGGTATGGTAGGGCATCGGACAGAAGTGGGGTGTCAAAGCCGGGCCACCCTGGTCCCTGCATTAGGCCTGGCTTTGGAAGGATATCTAGGCTGTGCAGTGTGCTTTCTCACCATCTGTGTCTTGACCTCTGCCAAGGTTCAAGTAAGACATAGAGGATCCCGTGCCCAAGCAGATGAGATTTGGGGTCTCTGGAAGGAAGACTTTGACCAGCACTGAGGGTCCCTGATGTCAGGAATCTCTTGGGCAGAATGGTAGGCCTTGAGCCTCCAAGAGAATGTAAACTTCCAGAAGGATCACTGAGTAGACATGGCCTGGACCCTGCAGTGCCTACTTCTATGTACTCCATCCTAAGAATGCAAAGGACAGAGGCACAGTTGTGCTTCCTCACATCAGGGAAAGTCCGGAAGAGTCATTGTCCCCATTAGAGCGATCAGGACTCAGAGGCACAGAAAAGACAGAGGCCTTGGAGAGGCCCCCAGTGGGTTGTGGGCCATCTTGAGACTGGCACCAGGCCCCCAGTGCTCATAGTTGAAGACCAATTTAGGTTCTACTTGGGCCCTTTCCTTGGCATGGTTTGTTTGGAGTGGGAGTCTAGCTAGGCCACAACACTGAAACACAAATTTGTGGGAACCCAAAGAATAGTGGTGAACTGTTAGCCCCAAAGCCTACTAAACTGTGACACCAGGCCACAGGCCCTAACAGGCAGCTCTGATCTTTCTTAGGCCCCTGATTTCTACGTGGAAATGAAATGGGAGTTTACCAGCTGGGGTGAGTAGGGACCAATCAGCTGCCAAAGACTTGGAGTGGGCCACTTGGGGAAGACCCCCATTGACTTTGAGACTCCTTGCAGTACCCCTAGTGTCCAAGATGTGCCCGAGCGATGTGTACCGAGTGTGGAAGCAGGGTGAGAGCCTGCGGGTGGACACTAGTCTCTTGGGCTTTGAGCACATGACC